AGGTGCTGTTCCCTTTATATCATAATTTCCATTTCCATCCCTTTTTGTGTATGATACAATATAAATAGACATTTGATGTGCAGAACCACAAACAAAGAATGTGAAGTGCTGGTATGACAGATTTGGGGTTTGCAAGGGTGCGTGCATGCATAAAAGCCAAAGTTATTCCTAGCATGCTGAATCAGTGGTGATAGGTTTATGGCTCCAACATGCATATGCTTTAACTAACATGGTGTGCAACGCAGTGTGTCACATCCTCTGAATACAGAAATTGACCTAATGTGCTATGTAAGAGTTTGGTCTGTTTTCCTTTTACACGGTGCATGCATTGCATGCCCGTATTGCAACGCAGTGTGTCACATCCTCTGAATACAATAGTGCGCTGGGAGAACGACAACAAGGAGACTATGTGGCGCCTAGCGGTGGACGGCGTACCCCTGCCTGGCAACACACACCTGGCCCGGGTGCCCATTGAGGCGTGCGGGTGCGGGGCCTATGGGGAGGCCGATGCCGGCCGACCCTGCTCCCCGCGACTGCACCACTTCTGGGAATGCCCTGTCGCGAGGGCCGTTCGGGAGCAGATCGACCGGCACCTGCCACCCCCCCAAGCAGCAGCGGGGGCCACCACCACCCGGCAGCAACTCTGGCTCGCCCAAGCGCCACCTGGGTGTGAGCAGGCCCCCTGGGACGTGATCGCCCTAGCGGCGCTGTCCGCCATGGAAGTCGGAAGGTGCTGCCTTCGAGCAGCAACCCGAAGGCAGGGGCGGGATGGGGCCGCAGCAGCGACGGGGCAGCAGCAGCAACAGCAGCAGCAACAGGTGCAGCCCCAGCCAGAGCAGCCCCAGCGACAGGGACCGCACCAGCGGGCTATCGCCGACTTCTTCGCCCGGGAGGGAGGGGCAACACAGCAGGAGGGACCCGCGCTGAACGCCCCCGCGGGTGAATCACCGACGCAGAAAGCAGGGGCCGGAGAGGTGGCGGCGGGGGAAGCGGCGGCGGCAGCAGTAGGGGCAGCAGCGGCAGCAGCGCGGGGTGCAGCCGAAGCCTCGCCGCTGGACCGGGCGCGCGCCCGCGCGGTGACGGACTTCTGGGCGCGCTTGCGCTCGTTCGCGGCGCTGGAGACCCCCCGGCACGGCTGGGACAGAGTGGGGCCGCAGCACCCCATCCTAGCGGTCGTTGAGGAGCGAATGCGGTGCGCAGCCCCGGTGGAGATCACGGCCTAAGCAGCTGTGCTAGTGACGGGGCAGGGGCGTTGGTTGGAGGGGAGGAGGGAGCGGGCGGTGGGGGGGAGGAGGGTGGGGGGGATTGGAGGGCTGGGGGGGGAGCCTGGAGAGGGCGAGTGGAGCGAGGAGAGCAGGAAGGGCGGTGGGCAAGGGGAGGGCTGGGCGTGCGGGCAAGGGTTTCCTGGCCGAGGGTCTCGTGGGCTAGCAGGGAGGGGAAGGAGCAGGCCTGTGTGCTTTGTCTGGTGTGAGTGTGGGTGTGTACCCTCTTCCCGGGAGACGGGGCCCGTCGAGGAGTAAGGGGCGGTTTTGTGCTGTCTGGCGGCTGAGGAGTGCGGCGCGGGAGGCCTGCAGTTTTGGCGCTTTAGGGAGAGGGAGAGGTGGAGAGGGAGGGGTTGCAGAGGGAGGGTAGGTGGTGCTGGGCTCCGCAGGCGGCCAGGGACGGAGGGGCAGGTTTTCTCTGCGTGGTAGGCGAGGGCAGGCAGCGCCTATGAGCCGTGCCCCGTAGTGGGTTTTCCAGGGGGGCGCCGCGCCGGCTTGTCATCCCCCCCGCGGCCGTGGGTGTTTGTTTTGCCCCGCGCTGGGCAGTGTCGGGGAACCTGTAGCCCCCAGGAGGAGGCCGCCTGGCGGGCCAACGTGCGGTTGGGTGCTTTAGTGAGCGGTTCCTGCAGCAGCACCTTGGTTGTCGTGTTCGTTGTGGCAGTTGGGCTCCTTGCTGTGCTGGCTTTCGTGGGAGCCCTTGGTGAGGGGACTCAGCCCCTCGTTCTCGTGAGGGACCTTGTCTGGGGGCCTAGGTGGGCTTTCCCTTGCCTCGTTTTTTTTCTGGGCTGCGGTGGTGCCGCCCCGTTGTCGTGGGCCCCTGCCCCAGGGGTAGAGGGCGTTCAGAGGCACTCTTTGTGTAGAGCTCTAGAGCCCCGTGAGCGCGCGAGGAGGCTGGCCAGGTGGGGGGTGGTAGCTAGTCTTGGTAGGCGTTTTTGGTTGAGGTGTGTGACGCCTCTCGCGTGGCTCCCGCTAAGCGCGGCCCGCAGTCGTCTGCGCCGCTGAGTTGGTTGGCCAGGGGCCGTGGTGGGTGCCCCTGGCTGACGCGAGTGAGGGAGTGAGGCGCGCGCGGCGGAACAGACGGACGTAGCCGCACGCCCGCCCCTGCGCTGTGTCTCGGCCCGGTCAGGGCCCCCGGTGCTCGTCCTGTCTCAGGGCGAGTCGCCCACAGTGTAACACCCGTTAACGAGAAATTGACCTAATGTGCTATGTAAGAGTTTGGTCTGTTTTCCTTTTACACGGTGCATGCATTGCATGCCCGTATTGCAACGCAGTGTGTCACATCCTCTGAATACAGAAATTGACCTAATGTGCTATGTAAGAGTTTGGTCTGTTTTCCTTTTACACGGTGCATGCATTGCATGCCCGTATTCCATGCCATCACTCACCCATGAGATGGCTATTTCTCCAGCGCGGTGTCTGGTGTGTACCTTTACTTGCATCCTGGGAGTTTGGTCTAGTTGTATGAATCTCTCTTTGGGTGCGAGAGGTCGCGGGTTCGATTCCCGCAACTCCCCTTTTGCTGCTGGAACTTTGTTATGGCATTTCTGTTGATTGATCAAGCAACAATTGTGGAATGAACTCACCTTCATGGCCACCATCATGATAGACACTGACAGGTAGAGTCGAGTCATCAGTGGGACAGCTGGCCTTGCACGGTATGTAGTGGAAATGACCAGTGGATAAAACCCTTTTACACGGCGAATGCATTGCATGCCCGTATTCCATGCCATCACTCACCCATGAGATGGTTATTTCTCCAGCGCGGATTCTCGTGTGTACCGTTACTTGCATCCTGGGAGTTTGGTCTAGTGGTATGATTCTCGCTTTGGGTGCGAGAGGCCGCGGGTTCGATTCCCGCAACTCCCCTCTTGCTGCTGGAACTTTGTTATGGCATTTCTGTTGATTGATCAAGCAACAATTGTGGAATGAACTCACCTTCATGGCCACCATCATGATAGACACTGACAGGTAGAGTCGAGTCATCTGTGGGACAGCTGGCCTTGCACGGTATGTAGTGGATATGACCAGTGGATAAAACCCTTTTACACGGCGAATGCATTGCATGCCCGTATTCCATGCCACCACTCACCCATGAGATGGCTATTTCTCCAGCACGGCGTCTGGTGTGTACCTTCACTTGCATCCTGGGAGTTTGGTCTAGTGGTATGATTCTCGCTTTGGGTGCGAGAGGCCGCGGGTTCGATTCCCGCAATTCCCCTCTTGCTGCTGGAACTTTGTTATGGCATTTCTGTTGATTGATCAAGCAACAATTGTGGAATGAACTCACCTTCATGGCCACCATCATGATAGACACTGACAGGTAGAGTCGAGTCATCAGTGGGACAGCTGGCCTTGCACGGTATGTAGTGGATATGACCAGGGACTGGATGAAGCACAGTTAGAACATGTAGAGGCGATGATATCCCCCAGGAGATGCCTGAGAGTTAGGACACTGAATTGGTGGTCGAGAGGTCACCAGTTCGATCCCGGTCTTCGCATAGGGCTGGGTAACCCTAAGGCTCTGGTGTGGGAATGAACAGCATGTGATTGCATGGCTCTTCAGCCATGTCCCTGTCCCTTCACTGGTAGAACTCATCACGGTAGAATGATCAACAATGATGTGTGTGGCATATCTGGGAAGTATGTGTGCGGGTACCCAGATGTGATCTGTGAGAGATGGAGCCCAGACATGGAGTAGGTGGAAGAAGTAACCCATCTTAGTCCAGAAGGCCGTCACCACGGTAATGGGCTGTACCCGCCGATGAGGCGTCAGTCTGTTCCCTTAACACACACTAGGGCTTATGGTCCAGCGTAAACGTTCTTAGAGCTGATAGATGATGAGCCACTCAGAAAGGAATGCGTGAGCCCAGCTGAAAGGTTTCGATGACTTTGGCCTTGAGGCTTCCCAAATGGTGTTGGGCCCCACCAGCAGCCCCGCCCCCCACCCCCCACCCACCCCGGCCCATCAACCCCCACCCCCCACCCCCACCCCCACGCACCCACCCACCCACATATACACAAAGACGAACTTGCAATTTAAGGCCACACGCGGCCGCAGACCAGTGCTCAATGCTGCCTCCTCCCTGACCCTAGTCTGAAAGATCCCCTAGGAAGGTCCTGAGATTTGGGGCACTAAACTTGTGACCACATGGTCTCAGGATCAATCCTGGCCTTCACATAGGGCTGGGTAAACTGAAGGGGGCCCTGGTGTGAGTTATAACAGGTGATTGCAAGGCGCTTTAGCCATGTCCCTGTACCCTGTACTTGTAGATATCAGCACGGTTCAATTTTCAACAATCATGTGTCTGGCTTGCATATCAGCAGGTGCTGTTCCCTTTATATCCTAATTTCCATTTCCATCCCTTTTTGTGTATGATACAATATAAATAGACATTTGATGTGCAGAACCACAAACAAAGAATGTGAAGTGCTGGTATGACAGATTTGGGGTTTGCAAGGGTGCGTGCATGCATAAAAGCCAAAGTTATTCCTAGCATGCTGAATCAGTGGTGATAGGTTTATGGCTCCAACATGCATATGCTTTAACTAACATGGTGTGCAACGCAGTGTGTCACATCCTCTGAATACAGAAATTGACCTAATGTGCTATGTAAGAGTTTGGTCTGTTTTCCTTTTACACGGCGAATGCATTGCATGCCCGTATTCCATGCCATCACTCACCCATGAGATGGCTATTTCTCCAGCGCGGCGTCTGGTGTGTACCTTTACTTGCATCCTGGGAGTTTGGTCTAGTGGTATGATTCTCGCTTTGGGTGCGAGAGGTCGCGGGTTCGCTCCCGCAACTCCCCTCTTGCTGCTGGAACTTTGTTATGGCATTTCTGTTGATTGATCAAGCAACAATTGTGGAATGAACTCACCTTCATGGCCACCATCATGATAGACACTGACAGGTAGAGTCGAGTCATCAGTGGGACAGCTGGCCTTGCACGGTATGTAGTGGATATGACCAGTGGATAAAACCCTTTTACACGGCGAATGCATTGCATGCCCGTATTCCATGCCATCACTCACCCATGAGATGGCTATTTCTCCAGCGCGGCGTCTGGTGTGTACCTTTATTTGCATCCTGGGAGTTTGGTCTAGTGGTATGATTCTCGCTTTGGGTGCGAGAGGCCGCGGGTTCGATTCCCGCAACTCCCCTCTTGCTGCTGGAACTTTGTTATGGCATTTCTGTTGATTGATCAAGCAACAATTGTGGAATGAACTCACCTTCATGGCCACCATCATGATAGACACTGACAGGTAGAGTCGAGTCATCAGTGGGACAGCTGGCCTTGCACGGTATGTAGTGGAAATGACCAGTGGATAAAACCCTTTTACACGGCGAATGCATTGCATGCCCGTATTCCATGCCATCACTCACCCATGAGATGGCTACTTCTCCAGCACGGCGTCTGGTGTGTACCTTTACTTGCATCCTGGGAGTTTGGTCTAGTGGTATGAATCTCTCTTTGGGTGCGAGAGGTCGCGGGTTCGATTCCCGCAACTCCCCTTTTGCTGCTGGAACTTTGTTATGGCATTTCTGTTGATTGATCAAGCAACAATTGTGGAATGAACTCACCTTCATGGCCACCATCATGATAGACACTGACAGGTAGAGTCGAGTCATCAGTGGGACAGCTGGCCTTGCACGGTATGTAGTGGAAATGACCAGTGGATAAAACCCTTTTACACGGCGAATGCATTGCATGCCCGTATTCCATGCCATCACTCACCCATGAGATGGTTATTTCTCCAGCGCGGATTCTCGTGTGTACCGTTACTTGCATCCTGGGAGTTTGGTCTAGTGGTATGATTCTCACTTTGGGTGCGAGAGGCCGCGGGTTCGATTCCCGCAACTCCCCTCTTGCTGCTGGAACTTTGTTATGGCATTTCTGTTGATTGATCAAGCAACAATTGTGGAATGAACTCACCTTCATGGCCACCATCATGATAGACACTGACAGGTAGAGTCGAGTCATCAGTGGGACAGCTGGCCTTGCACGGTATGTAGTGGATATGACCAGGGACTGGATGAAGCACAGTTAGAACATGTAGAGGCGATGATATCCCCCAGGAGATGCCTGAGAGTTAGGACACTGAATTGGTGTTCGAGAGGTCACCAGTTCGATCCCGGTCTTCGCATAGGGCTGGGTAACCCTAAGGCTCTGGTGTGGGAATGAACAGCATGTGATTGCATGGCTCTTCAGCCATGTCCCTGTCCCTTCACTGGTAGAACTCATCACGGTAGAATCAACAATGATGTGTGTGGCATATCTGGGAAGTATGTGTGCGGGTACCCAGATGTGATCTGTGAGAGATGGAGCCCAGACATGGAGTAGGTGGAAGAAGTAACCCATCTTAGTCCAGAAGGCCGTCACCACGGTAATGGGCTGTACCCGCCGATGAGGCGTCAGTCTGTTCCCTTAACACACACTAGGGCTTATGGTCCAGCGTAAACGTTCTTAGAGCTGATAGATGATGAGCCACTCAGAAAGGAATGCGTGAGCCCAGCTGAAAGGTTTCGATGACTTTGGCCTTGAGGCTTCCCAAATGGTGTTGGGCCCCACCAGCAGCCCCGCCCCCCACCCCCCACCCACCCCGGCCCATCAACCCCCACCCCCCACCCCCACCCCCACGCACCCACCCACCCACATATACACAAAGACGAACTTGCAATTTCAGGCCACACGCGGCCGCAGACCAGTGCTCAATGCTGCCTCCTCCCTGACCCTAGTCTGAAAGATCCCCTAGGAAGGTCCTGAGATTTGGGGCACTAAACTTGTGACCACATGGTCTCAGGATCAATCCTGGCCTTCACATAGGGCTGGGTAAACTGAAGGGGGCCCTGGTGTGAGTTATAACAGGTGATTGCAAGGCGCTTTAGCCATGTCCCTGTACCCTGTACTTTTAGATATCAGCACGGTTCAATTTTCAACAATCATGTGTCTGGCTTGCATATCAGCAGGTGCTGTTCCCTTTATATCCTAATTTCCATTTCCATCCCTTTTTGTGTATGATACAATATAAATAGACATTTGATGTGCAGAACCACAAACAAAGAATGTGAAGTGCTGGTATGACAGATTTGGGGTTTGCAAGGGTGCGTGCATGCATAAAAGCCAAAGTTATTCCTAGCATGCTGAATCAGTGGTGATAGGTTTATGGCTCCAACATGCATATGCTTTAACTAACATGGTGTGCAACGCAGTGTGTCACATCCTCTGAATACAGAAATTGACCTAATGTGCTATGTAAGAGTTTGGTCTGTTTTCCTTTTACACGGCGAATGCATTGCATGCCCGTATTCCATGCCATCACTCACCCATGAGATGGCTATTTCTCCAGTGCGGGGTCTGGTGTGTACCTTTACTTGCATCCTGGGAGTTTGGTCTAGTGGTATGATTCTCGCTTTGGGTGCGAGAGGTCGCGGGTTCGATTCCCGCAACTCCCCTCTTGCTACTGGAACTTTGTTATGGCATTTCTGTTGATTGATCAAGCAACAATTGTGGAATGAACTCACCTTCATGGCCACCATCATGATAGACACTGACAGGTAGAGTCGAGTCATCAGTGGGACAGCTGGCCTTGCACGGTATGTAGTGGATATGACCAGGGACTGGATGAAGCACAGTTAGAACATGTAGAGGCGATGATATCCCCCAGGAGATGCCTGAGAGTTAGGACACTGAATTGGTGGTCGAGAGGTCACCAGTTCGATCCCGGTCTTCGCATAGGGCTGGGTAACCCTAAGGCTCTGGTGTGGGAATGAACAGCATGTGATTGCATGGCTCTTCAGCCATGTCCCTGTCCCTTCACTGGTAGAACTCATCACGGTAGAATGATCAACAATGATGTGTGTGGCATATCTGGGAAGTATGTGTGCGGGTACCCAGATGTGATCTGTGAGAGATGGAGCCCAGACATGGAGTAGGTGGAAGAAGTAACCCATCTTAGTCCAGAAGGCCGTCACCACGGTAATGGGCTGTACCCGCCGATGAGGCGTCAGTCTGTTCCCTTAACACACACTAGGGCTTATGGTCCAGCGTAAACGTTCTTAGAGCTGATAGATGATGAGCCACTCAGAAAGGAATGCGTGAGCCCAGCTGAAAGGTTTCGATGACTTTGGCCTTGAGGCTTCCCAAATGGTGTTGGGCCCCACCAGCAGCCCCGCCCCCCACCCCCCACCCACCCCGGCCCATCAACCCCCACCCCCCACCCCCACCCCCACGCACCCACCCACCCACATATACACAAAGACGAACTTGCAATTTCAGGCCACACGCGGCCGCAGACCAGTGCTCAATGCTGCCTCCTCCCTGACCCTAGTCTGAAAGATCCCCTAGGAAGGTCCTGAGATTTGGGGCACTAAACTTGTGACCACATGGTCTCAGGATCAATCCTGGCCTTCACATAGGGCTGGGTAAACTGAAGGGGGCCCTGGTGTGAGTTATAACAGGTGATTGCAAGGCGCTTTAGCCATGTCCCTGTACCCTGTACTTTTAGATATCAGCACGGTTCAATTTTCAACAATCATGTGTCTGGCTTGCATATCAGCAGGTGCTGTTCCCTTTATATCCTAATTTCCATTTCCATCCCTTTTTGTGTATGATACAATATAAATAGACATTTGATGTGCAGAACCACAAACAAAGAATGTGAAGTGCTGGTATGACAGATTTGGGGTTTGCAAGGGTGCGTGCATGCATAAAAGCCAAAGTTATTCCTAGCATGCTGAATCAGTGGTGATAGGTTTATGGCTCCAACATGCATATGCTTTAACTAACATGGTGTGCAACGCAGTGTGTCACATCCTCTGAATACAGAAATTGACCTAATGTGCTATGTAAGAGTTTGGTCTGTTTTCCTTTTACACGGCGAATGCATTGCATGCCCGTATTCCATGCCATCACTCACCCATGAGATGGCTATTTCTCCAGTGCGGCGTCTGGTGTGTACCTATACTTGCATCCTGGGAGTTTGGTCTAGTGGTATGATTCTCGCTTTGGGTGCGAGAGGTCGCGGGTTCGATTCCCGCAACTCCCCTCTTGCTACTGGAACTTTGTTATGGCATTTCTGTTGATTGATCAAGCAACAATTGTGGAATGAACTCACCTTCATGGCCACCATCATGATAGACACTGACAGGTAGAGTCGAGTCATCAGTGGGACAGCTGGCCTTGCACGGTATGTAGTGGATATGACCAGGGACTGGATGAAGCACAGTTAGAACATGTAGAGGCGATGATATCCCCCAGGAGATGCCTGAGAGTTAGGACACTGAATTGGTGGTCGAGAGGTCACCAGTTCGATCCCGGTCTTCGCATAGGGCTGGGTAACCCTAAGGCTCTGGTGTGGGAATGAACAGCATGTGATTGCATGGCTCTTCAGCCATGTCCCTGTCCCTTCACTGGTAGAACTCATCACGGTAGAATGATCAACAATGATGTGTGTGGCATATCTGGGAAGTATGTGTGCGGGTACCCAGATGTGATCTGTGAGAGATGGAGCCCAGACATGGAGTAGGTGGAAGAAGTAACCCATCTTAGTCCAGAAGGCCGTCACCACGGTAATGGGCTGTACCCGCCGATGAGGCGTCAGTCTGTTCCCTTAACACACACTAGGGCTTATGGTCCAGCGTAAACGTTCTTAGAGCTGATAGATGATGAGCCACTCAGAAAGGAATGCGTGAGCCCAGCTGAAAGGTTTCGATGACTTTGGCCTTGAGGCTTCCCAAATGGTGTTGGGCCCCACCAGCAGCCCCGCCCCCCACCCCCCACCCACCCCGGCCCATCAACCCCCACCCCCC